TTTATATATTTATAATAAAAAAATATATCTTTAACATATCCTATAAGAATATAGGATAAAAACACCCAATGATTTGCTATAAGCTTCCTTTGTTTTTTTAATTGTCCATCTAACTTATGGGGTTGTTGAGTTTTGTTGTAATTCCATTAATCATTGCCTTAGATGATTATTATTGGAGGACTATTTTCTTGGTGCACTGGGATCAATCGATGGCAATGTTTGAAAATTTGAGTTAGGGTGAAGGGCGAAGTTGATAGTACGGAATATTAACTTGGAATAATTTTTAAATTCAAAACTTTCTTTGAATTAACTTTCTAATCTTCCCTAAATGATCATTAATTTTTTTAAAACCACCCTATATTAGAATTTTTCCAGAAAATTATTTATTTTAACTTAAGAATATATATAAAAACACAATACTTAATTAAGTTGACACTAATTTTCAGCGAAAATTGTATGATAGAACAGAAGTATATAGGAGTGATAATAAAGAGTTTGTTTAGTTTGAGGGTGGAGAAGTAGTGAATTTTTTTATTTTTGTCCCTTAGTTCTGCAAGTTCTTTCTCCTACGTTCCTTTAATGTCTCCAGCGACACTACTACTAAATAGAGTTCGGTAACAAACATAAATACCAAATACAGACAACTAAGAGTATGACTCACATATTGGTAAACAAGTTTGAAACCTTGAAGGAGTTGCAAAAGATTTTATTCCAGAGAAGTTTTACTTATTCAATGAGATTAGATCACTTACATGGTATGAGATATGGCAACACTAATCCAACAACAAATAAGCAGGGTTAAAGAGTAACTAGTACAATTTTCGAGTATGCCAGTATCGTAATGAATGACTTAGGTCTTGTATCTTAAAGCTTGGAGGCATTTGCTGTTTTCTTACTCAAGGCAATTGCAGTCTGTGAGTTAGATTGCCGTCCCAAATGCTTGCAGATAAAATCTCCAGCCAACAGCAGTTTTCCAAGATCCACATTGGTCTTTACTCCGATACCATTTAGCAAGTAAACAACATCCTCAGTGGCAACATTTCCAGAAGCACCCTTAGCATATGGACAACCTTCAAGACCAGAAATTGATGAACCCACAGTGTTGATTCCCATCTGCAAAGAGATGCTATTATTCAGAACATTTTCAGACTATTGTACATTTGAAATTTGTAGTTAGCCAGTGGTATATATCCACTGAAGAATCTAAAATGTTATTGTTTGTTGTTTGATTTCATTTTTGCTAACTCGGCAATTTCTATGAAATAGGTCTAAGTTTTGTTATTCAAGGAATCATTAGGCCTTTAGCTTTTATTTTCTGGGAGTCCAAGTTGGTAAATTGATTAGTTTCCTCCAGTTTTGGAAATCCAAATCCCATCACTTTGGCTTAGGCCAATTGGTAAAGAATAGTCTAAGAATCTATACAAGTACCTACGCACGCCCAATAAATTAGAAGATGCTTTTGACTAATAACAAAAAGCATATTTTGGTTAATTAAAGAATGGTGCTCAGAAATTTTTTAATTTTCCATTCAGTACGGTGTTGCTACAACAAGATAGTGCCAGACTTCTCTCCGCACCATAGAAACTCAATGTGGAAAGAAGAGACTGCAAATTCTGTCCATAAAGCAACTAAAACACCATGATTGCAGCGACTATGTCTAGAAAAAGGTTAAATACTTTTTTTGGTCTCTCTCTATTATAAGAAAAAGCTCATTTTTAGTCTTTATATAGAAAAAATCTTTTTTTTAGTCTTTACTGTTCACAAATCTAATCCCTTTTTGATCATTCTGTTAATTTTTGCTTACGTGGCACGTAAACTTAACTGCAACAGCTGACGTGAGTATACTAACGCGTAAAATATGCTTATGTGAACTCCGCGTCACTCTTCACGTCACATCACCCCACTTCCTCCGGCTTTGTTTTTTTTTTTCTTTTTTTCCTTTTATCTCTAGGAGCCTGGGTTCGCGAGGAACCCAGCTCACGGGCTCGTGAGGAACCCAGCTTGTAAATCCGCCGTTTCTTTTGAACCTCCATCCAGTTCTCCATTATCTTCTTGTAGTTTCCCTCTCTTCATCGCTCCAAATCCATCACCATAACGCTAGTGTTGAAGTAACAGGGGTTTCTGGATTTGAATACCCGGGCTAAAACCGAGTCCGACTAGAATGCAAGGGTGAAATAATTGGTGAAATTGGCGTGGCAGTACTCCGGTGCGCCGATGACTCGTGTGTTCGTCAATTTGGTGTTCCAGAGCACGCGAATGTCGTTGACGAGGAGGATGTCGGAGTCGAGGTAGATGACACGACCAACGCAAGAGTCCAGAATGTCTCCCAGATAGATTTTGGCAAAATTCAGGGGATTCTCCAGTGCTTCCCGGATTGAGGAAGAAATGAGGTTAATCACCTTGTCTTCTCTGAAAATATAGATTTTCAATTTGAGCGACGGTAAAGTAGATCGGACTATTTGGTTTAGCAACCGCGGATTGGCTGGGTCGAACTCCGCTGCAATGAAATGGAAGAAGATGTTGTCCGGGCAGGATGCATGGTGATTGATGGAGTTCACGGCGGCGATGGAGCCACGGAGGTACTCCAAATCCAGTGTCATAGCGATGTGAACAAAAGAAGGATCACACAACGACGCAAACTGCTTATTCGCCGGACATTCCTTCCCGTTCCAATACTGTGCCGCCTCAACAAACTGTAACGCCCCATAAACACCAAACCCAAACCCATCTCCCTTGCTGACATGCAATCTCATTTCAATAGACCGAATCCCAATACAAAATGGACATCTTGGGTTCATTGCCAACCCGGTCGCGAACCCAGTCGCGTGAGTTGGGTTCATCCTGGGTTCACGATGAACCCAGGCACCTGGGTTCATCACAAACCCGCGAGCTGGGTTCGCCTGGAGGTAAAAGGAAAAAAAGACAAAAAAAAAAAAAAAGCCGGAAGGAAGTGGGGTGACGTGGAGGGTGATGTGGAGTCCACATAAGCATATTTTACGTGTTAGCATACCCACGTCAGTTGTTCCAGTTAAGTTAACGTGCCACATAAGCAAGAATTAACATAAGGACCAAAAAGGGGCTAGATTTGTGAACAGTAAGGACCAAAAAAGGGATTTTTTCGGTATAGAGACCAAAAAAGAACTTTTTCCTATAGTAGAGGAACCAAAAAGGGTATTTAACCCTAGAAAAACAGTAGAGCATATGACATGGCATTTGAAATGCCGTGAGGATGCGGATGAAGTTATTCATCCTGCGGGTAGTGAGACATGGAAACACTTTGATGAAACCCACCCAACATTTGCTGATGAACCTAGAAAT